TGTCTGGAAGCATGTGAATTGTGTCGCTCTATAAGCTATTATTGGTGGACAGTAACAGAATGCTAAATAAAAAAATGCTTTCTCAACGTTAGATATTTCTATAGTTCTTAATCTTAGCCAATTTGACTAATTTATCCTGTGCATTATTGCTGATAAAACGGCACTGCAATATTAAAGATTTCCTATTACAATGGTGCTTATTGTCATTCTTCATCACCCTGTACGAGGAAATTACAATAGATACGAATATCCAGTTCATGCCTAAAATCAAGTCATTTGGCTTTTATTCACAGGCATTTTTTATCAATTTGGGAATAAAAATACCGAATCCTGTGCACACAAGCTCATAATGAATTGAAGAATTCAGCAAGAGACTTAAAAATTGTACACTACTTCATCAGAAGCTGCTTGTTACATGCATGAAACTTAATAAGAAAAATATATCTGATCAGTAATAATTTTAGGTCCTTCACAAACTTGCAACGCTTCTAACAAAATAATTTTTTAAGCTTTTAATACTTCACACAACCAGCAACAACTTCTACAAACAGCATAACTTACACAAGCTTTAAAATAAACGAACTTGCACAGCTACCATGAAGCAAAAAACAAATTCACATAAAGGCGTCCTGTTTTCAAATCATACACAACTTAGTTTTTTGTTTGTCAATTAAAACACACTCTTCAGACTCAATTAAAACTGTACGCGGAATTTAGAAAAAAAAATGAAGAAGAAGTTTCCAAATAACAACAAAGAAAAAATTAACCATAGAACTAATAAGATACTCACCCTTCTGTGTAATCAGCCTGGAGCAAATCAAGGTACGTATCCCATTTGTTTCCAATTACCTAGCAAAACCATGAAAATTTTAATATTTTCTTCAAAAAGAGGTGGGGTGGGGATTAACGTGGATAAATTTTTGGGTTTATCTACCTTTCCACAAGTAAAGCAACGGACTGGAATGATCATATTTGCTCGCTAGGGTTTCGTTCGCTACACAGAAAATAAAATCGAGGAGAAACGCCAAATTTTATAGGCACGAAAAGTTGTGGGCCTGGAAAATTTTGGTTTGGGCTTTTCCATCAAAGCCCTCTAATTTTATTAGTGGAAATTACACCAACCCCTACATTTGGAGATTGAAATTCTAAAATCAGATTTCACGTTTTAATTTTCAAAAATCAGATCTTTTTTAATTAGATACAATGCATTATATATATAGAGATTTAA